GGACGCTGCAGGGGACACATCGCGGGAGCGAAAGACAAGGTAAGCTCTGCAGGGAATCCCTATGCAGCGCCGCATGGTAAGCCCGAGTGTAGCTCGGGGTCACCGCTTTTGGTACTGACATTTTACCCCGAGCTACACTCGGGAATACCGCTAGGGAGGTTAAAGGATATGTTCATCTTTTGTAACATGTTACATCCATATCCAGGGTGTAACAAGCAACATGTTAACAAAGGACCGGCCCCACTCCCCCCCGATCCCCGGTTTTGACAGCTAGATGACTGACCCCATGCAGTCAGTGTTTTATTTGGGGCAATGCTACAGAATCTCAAGCTAAACATTTTTTCTTTACATACATTTAACCTTGATTTAACAGTATGGCCAAAAGCTTCAAACATAGTCTATATTAAAGATGTTCCCCATTGTTAAACATATAGCATGTTCAACACTTAAAGCTTATTTCCATTCAAATATACAACACAGAATAAATGTACTTATCACTCCTTCATAGACTGATCAGCAGGCTGGAGGAGTGCTCTTGACCTGGCCATATCTAGGTATCTGGATCACAAGACTGGTTGCCAGTATTCTAGGTTGTCTGGAGTTCAGCTTGAAACAGAATCTGGTTAGCATTTTATGGGCAATGTGACAGGTTCTCAACCATCTCTTGATATTTCTCTATCCTATGTCAGTTTGCTGTAGCCCTTGGACATACCCAGTACTTCCTACCAGGTTTCAGTGCTCAGGGCACAGAACCTATCTATAGAACCAGTCAGGGCAAAGTGACAGATCATCAATAAACTGTCAATATTACACTAGCACCAAGCAAAGCAAGTTAAACAAATGTAAAAATATGAATTTGATTTAAAACAACTGGTTATAGAGCATGAATAATACGCAAAACATGCTAATGGTTTTTCAAATAGACAGTCTTAGTATATTTTATGTATTGCACTGGTGGTCTCTAAAGAGCATTTAAAAAAAAACAAATTAACTTAAGCCAAATAAACTTTCACTGATCAGCAATTACCTTAATAGTGAACTAGAAATATCAGGTTATAATGAATATCAACTGTTGTGTTTAGGTCAACTATGCTGAAGCGGTTCAAGCTTGTTTCATTTATCCATGTATATAAAAGAACTTCCCCAGCCATAATAGATTCTTCCTTCAATATACACTGCAGATTAAACCATTAAAGAGAACATTATTTGATGTTACAGCCAACAAAGACACTTCTATCAGAAAATTTTAACAAAAGAGAAGATATCAGCACTGCAGAAGAACAATAGAATGGAGGTATGCAGCCTTATATAACGACATTAGGACAACTGGGGTCTCACAAAATGTCAAAATGACACACAAAACCTGTCTTAAAAAGGCAGTACAGTAGTGCAAGAAATTACCTGCAAGCCTACACTTATTTCGACACCTAAATAATGAAAAATAAAACATTTATACCATTATACTAATATTGTACTACCATATTAATAAATTGTTCACAATATGTTGTATTTAAAAGTAAACCAATTACATTTACAAATTTAATTATGAAACTGAGCTGCCTGTGCTCCGCCTTAAAATAAAGTGATTTTGAGATTTCTAAAATACTGTCACCAGCTCAGAAGAAATTCTTGTGGCAACTGGCAACTAATGCTGTTCATGAGACATGAAAGTAAAAACGCCTTGGGACTGCAAATCAAGCTGCAATGTACTGCTCTGAACTCATGCCACTGACATTAAAATAAAAGCAGAGAGAAAGCTCCCTGCTAAAGAAAATGTTTTATGTAGCCAAGAATCTAACCTTAAAAACTAGTCTCTAATAAAACTAGGGTCAGTACTAGGACAGATTTTAGTTTGCCTCATCAGTAAACATATCAAAGTTAAATGAATTTGCAGCGACAGGATCAATGAGACCAATATACAGTTGTGCTTCAAAGTTTGCATACCCTGGCAGAAAATAGGAAATTTTGGCATTGATATTGAAAATATGAAAGATTATGTCAAAAAACTGTCTTTATTTAAAGACAGTGATCATATGAAGCCATTTATTATCACATAGTGGATTGGCTCCTTTTTAAATCAGAATGATAACAGATATCACCCAAAGGGCCCTGATCAAAAGTTTACATACCCTGGAATGTTTGGCCTTGGTACAGACACACAAGGTGACACACGCAGATTAAAATAGCAATTAAAGGTTAATTTCCCACATCTGTGGCTTTTTAAATTACAATTAGTGTCTGTGTATAAATAAGTAGTCAATGAGTTTGTTAGCTCTTACATGGATGCACTGAGCAGGCTAGATACTGAGCCATGGAAAGCAGAAAAAAACTGTCAAAAGACCTGCGTAACAAGGTAATGGAACTTCATAAAGATGGAAAAGGATATAAAAAGATATCCAAAGTCTTGAATATGCCAGTCAGGACTGTTGAATCAATACATAAGAAGTGGAAAATTCAGGGGTCTTTATACCAAGCCAAGTTCAGGTAGACAAAGAACAAATGTAGCCACAACTAAGGAGCACAATATGACGATACTTGAACAAAAATTAGCTGTATGGTCAAGCTACTAGAAAGAAGCCTTTACTGCACCAATGTTACAAAAAAGCCCAATGAGGCATGTCTAGGTATTGTTGGCATATTGTAACCGGGCTTTTTTGTGGCACTGGCACATCGAATACTTCTTCTCACAACTTGACCATGCAGCTCAGTTTTGTTCGTTGTATAGTTGTATTGTGCTCCTTAAAAACTACCACACCGTCTTTTTCCAAATAGGGTGTTTTTAATTTTAAATATTGTTTGCTAAACATGTGTACATTTATAAGGTTGAGGTGTCCTGTAGATCTCTCTGGTGTTGTCTTATTAGGGATTCAATAGTTGTAATCAGACAACATATTCTAACCGGTCTGCTTGTTACTACCAAAAATAAGCCCCAGCCAGTGGTGTGTGTAGACAGCTAATATAAATGAGATCCAAGTCCAAACATATCAAATATGACTGCATCTGAAGACTGTCATTTAATATCTATGGGCTTATTATATCCAAGTTCAAAGATGCATAGAAATTCAAAAGACTTACATCTACAATGTCACAATGCTATAAGGACCCCTTACCATCAAACCAAATCCGTAGTCAGAACTATTCAACTGTTCAGAAAGATATTGCTATCTCGTTGTTTTTTCATGTGGTTTAAAATGTGGTTCTCAGATTCAGGATTGCTTATTATGTGATGAAAAAGCCTAATATATTGTTTAAAATACTTTCATTTTCAGTCTAGGGTGTTACCCAATAAATGCCACCTATTTAACTCAAATCAGTTTTTACATCAGTGGTTCATCAATTCTTACATCAGTTTTTTACATCCACTACCAATGCAAAAATGGATGGAAAAACAGACAATTTGTCCGTTTATATCAGTTTTCTGTCAGTTCCATTTTTTTTTCCGGAGCTTTAACGGAACAAAAATAGGGCTTTGATCCATTTTTAAAAAACCGGTTGTGGTTGTAAATAGATGATCTTTCATTTACATCAGTTTTCCCATAAATATGCATTGATGTCTGTTTTTCATCCATCAACGGATGTATGAAAAATGGACAAATGGAATGCCAGCCTGAAAGGGGCCTTAATATTGAAACTCACTTATGAAAAACACACAACAGTATGCCTAATGCAAGGCATCATGTTTAACCAGTTCCTGCCCAGCCTATAGTCAAATGATGGTCAGACAGGACATTCCCCGTTCCGTCATATGACGTCCTCTCAGAAAGCGCCACGGGCTGCACTGCGGTGAGATCTGTCACCCGCTGTGTCCACAGATCACATGACAATTGTACACAATGGATGACTTTCATTCTTGCCATCCACTGCATACTATTGTGTTGATCTCTGTGATTGGTCACAGTGATCACATGGTACAGACAGGTCCAATCACAGCCCATCTGTACCATGTGATAAGCTGTGGCCAATCATAGCTAACCACAATAGTAAACACTGAATGAATCAATTTCATTCAGTAAAAATGGTTGCTTATAACAGTGAAATTCACTGGTATAAGCAATCATAATGTGTAAAAAAAAATCCTGATCACTTCCCCAGAGTAGTTCAGTGTCACTATTTTAACATTATTTTGCTCTGGTCACAGTGTGTTAAAAAAAAAAAAATTGTTAAAAAAAAAAGAAAAAAGATGTAGTTAAAAAAAAATGAATGTATTTATTTATATTTTACATACTGTCATGAGTCAGTGTCTCCTATCACCACCACACACGGTTATATGATCATGCTTTACTGCACTGGTGACAGTATGTAAAAAAAAAAAAATTGTTAAAAAAAAACATTTTTTTAAATTTCTTCATTTTCCAAAAATTGTGACAAGAAATTACAACTTTAAAACACTCACCATGCCTCTTACTAAATACCTTGGACTGTCTGCTTTCCAAAAAGGAGTCATTTGGTTTGTATTTGTACTGTCCTGGCATTTTTGGGCCTCAGGAATAAGATAGGCCGTTAGTACATCAGGATTGATTTTCAGATATATACCATAGTTTGTGGACTCTATAACTTTCCTTTCGGACTAAATAATAAACACTGATTTGTGTTATTTTCAACAAAGAAATGTAGAAGAATACAGTTTGGCCTAAATTTATGAAGAAAGTTAATTTATTTGCACTTTTTTTAACAGAAACAAAGAAAACGTAAGTTTTTTTTTTTACATTTTTCTGTCTTTATTAATTTATTTAACAGAAAAAAAACTGTGGTGATTAACTAGTAGCTGACCGCAGATAGCCGAATGACGGCTGCACTGCGGCCGGCCAGTTCTGGGTGGACGTCATATGACGTCCTCCCAGAACGCGCTCTCCTGACACGCTGATCAGAGGAAAATGCAAGTGCCGGTTCTCGGCTGCACTTTCCTCACGCTGTAAGATCGTAAGGAAAGTACTGCAGAGAACCGGCAGTTATCAGAGCGGGGATCGGCACCGATCATCAGGGCCCTGTAGATCGGTGCCCAGCAGTGCCGCCCGCAAGTTCCGCCCACCTGTGCCCAGCAGTGCGCCCACTAGCTCCGCCCACCTGTGCCCAGCAGTGCACTCACCTGTGCCACTCTGCAGTGCCACCTACCTGTGCCCAGAAGTGCCACCCACCTGTGCCCAGCAGTGCCACCCATCTGTGCCCAGCAGTGCCACCCACCTGTGCCCACCAGTGCCACCCACCTGTGCCCACCCACCAGTGCTGCCCACTAGTGCCGCCCACCAGTGCAGCCCAGCAGTGCTGCCAGTCAGTGCCACCAGTCAGTGCCCAGGGGTTGTGCCAGTCAGTGCCGCCAGTCAGTGCCCAGCAGTGATGCCAGTCAGTGCCGTCTATCAGTACCCATCAACAGTGTCACCTATCAGTGCCGCCTATCAGTGCTGCATATTAGTGCCGCCTATTCGTGACACCTCATTAGTGCTGTCTATCAGTGCCGCCTATTCGTGCCACCTCATTAGTACTGCCTATCAGTGCCCTTTAGTGCTGCCTATCAGTTCCCATTAGTGCCGCCTATCAGTGCCCATCAGTGCTGCCTCATCAACGCACATCAGTGAAGGAGAAAAAATACCTGTTTGAAAAATTTTATAATAGAAACAAAGAAACTATTTTTTTTTCAAATTTTTTACACTTTTTTTATTTTTAGCGCAAAAAGTGAAGCGCCCAGTGGCGATTAAATACCACCAAAAGAAAGCTCTATTTGTGAGAAAAAAATTATCAAAATTTCATATGGGTACAATCTTGCATGACCGCGCAATTGTCAATCAAAGTGCGGCAGCGCTGAAAGCTGAAAATTGGCCTGGTAAATAAGGGGGTATAAGTGCCTGGTAGGCAAGTGGTTAAATACCACCCAAAGCTCTCACTATTTTTGTGAGAAAAAAATCATTAAAAAGTGGAGTTACCCTTTAACTACACTCTGTTAGCATTTAGATCAGCCACATGTAATCAAAAACTACATAGGACACAAACAATCTGCCACCAGAAAACTCATGTTCATTCCTCTATGCAGCATCATATATATATATATATATATATATATATATATATACAGTCATGGCCGAAATTGTTGGCACCCTTGATATTTCTCCAGGAAATCATGTATTTCTCACGAAACGTATTGCATTAACACATGTTTTGCTATACACATGTTTATTCCCTTTGTGTGTATTGGGACAAAACAAAAAAAGGGAGGAAAGAAAGCAAATTCGACATAATGTCACACAAACCTCCAAAAATGGGCTGGACAAAAGTATTGGCACCCTTTCACAACTGCGGATAAATAAGAATGTTACAAGCATGTGATGCTCCTGTAAACTCACCTGGGGCAAGTAACAGGTGTGGGCAATATAGAAATCACACCTGAAAGCAGATAAAAAGGAGAGACGTTCACTTAACCTTTGCATTGTGTGTCTGTCTGTGCCACACTAAGCATGGACAACAGAAAGAGGAGACGAGAACTGTCTGAGGACCTGAGAACCAAAATTGTGGCAAAATATCAACAATCTCAAGGTTACAAGTCCATCTCCAGAGAACTAGATTTGCCTTTGTCCACAGTGCGCAACATTATCAAGAAGTTTGCAACCCATGGCACTGTAGCTAATCTCCCTGGTCGTGGACGGATGAGGAAAATTGATGAAAGATTGCAACGCAGAATAGTCCGGATGGTGGATAAGCAGCCCCAAACATGTTCCAAAGACATTCAAGCTGTCCTGCAGGCTCAGGGAGCATCAGTGTCAGCGCGAACTATCCGTCGACATTTAAATGAAATGAAACGCTATGGCAGGAGACCCAGGAGGACCCCACTGCTGACACAGAGACATAAAAAAGCAAGACTACAGTTTGCCAAAATGTACTTGAGTAAGCCAAAAGCCTTCTGGGAAAACGTCTTGTGGACAGATGAGACCAAGATAGAGCTTTTCGGTAAAGCACATCATTCTACTGTTTTACCGAAAACGGAATGAGGCCTACAAAGAACAAAACACAGTACCTACGGTAAAATATGGTGGAGGTTCAATGATGTTTTGGGGTTGTTTTGCTGCCTCTGGCACTGGGTGCCTTGACTGTGTGCAAGGCATCATGAAATCTGAGGATTACCAAAGGATTTTGGGTCGCACTGTAGGGCCCAGTGTCAGAAAGCTGGGTTTGCGTCCAAGATCCTGGGTCTTCCAGCAGGACAATGACCCCAAACATACGTCAAAAAGCACTCAGAAATGGATGGCAAAGAAGCGCTGGAGAGTTCTGAAGTGGCCAGCAATGAGCCCAGATCTAAATCCCATTGAAACACACCTGTGGAGAGATCTTAAAATTGCTGTTGGGAAAAGGTGTCCTTCCAATAAGAGAGACCTGGAGCTGTTTGCAAAGGAAGAGTGGTCCAAAATTCCGGGTGAGAGGTGTCAGAAGCTTATTGATGGTTATAGGAAGCGACTGATTTCAGTTATGTTTTCCAAAGGGTGTGCAACCAAATATTAAGTTAAGGGTGCCAATACTTTTGTCCCAGCCCATTTTTGGGGTTTTGTGTGACATTATGTCATATTTGCTTTTCTGCCTCTGTTTTATATTTGTTCCAATACATACAAAGGGAATAAACATGTGTATAGCAAAACATGTGTTAATGCAATACCTTTTTTGTGTGAAATACTTGATTTTCTGGAAAAATATCAAGGGTGCCAACAATTTCGGCCATGACTGTATATATACATATATACACACACACACACATAACCATTTGGAACTGTCCAAAAGCATACCAAATTTAGAATACAGTAGACTATGAAGTATGGACAGCCAAAGTTCAAAATACTACTTGCTATGTTGCAAATGTTGAGGACACAGGTTCTCACTTTATAGCACATATGGTTTTAAGAAAAAAAACGTTTCCAATTTTGATATATGACCTCTAAATGCATATGGCCAAGGCTCACATACTGCAGTACATGGGTTCACACATCCACACAAGCCAAAAGGTGATATACAGGATACTCTATGTGGAAATATGAGTAATCATTCCATTTATCCCATAAAATTGTCATTATGTTAAAAAAGACCAACCTCCCAAATTCTTGGGGAACATCGATCCATTTTATAAGAACATAAGATCAGTGCTGTAATCAGTGATACCTATTAAAATCATAAGAGCAATATACTAATTGGCTTTAAAACTTCCCGTTAACAATAGCACCATAGTAGCAAAGCACCCAGGGATCCTGGCAGCACAGGCAGCCCACCAAAGGTGGTATGTATAGCCAAGCAAAGTCCTGACATATACAGGTTAGAAAGGTGGATCTAGTGTGATAATTGCCCTGATATCCATACAAGGAATACAGACAGGTAATAGAACAGTTCAATCTGAGCATAGAAGTGTAAGCTAGCTACTACATACAAGGGCCCATGTAAATTTATGTAATAGTTTCTTAATATAGTTCTTCACAGCACAGAGAACTCTATTCATCCAAAGCTTATGGAAGGATTCACTTTCCATGCTTTAGTCAGATGGTCAGCCTAAATATTTAATTACCTTAGAAAACCCAACCAGCTTTTCAGTTTAACAGATTAATATTACTTCATGCCAAATGCAATACATTTACAGAATGAATACAGGTCACTTCCATGTCTCTGCAGAACAAGATCGTGCTTCAACCTATAAAAGAGTCAACCCATCAAGCATGTAATCGTAATAAATGGACGTCTGCATCTTCCTACATCATTTGCAGAACACAATTTAGGACAAAACTAGCCAGGAAATGTATATAAGGTTATAAGCCTTGTATTTCTTAGTTTCCTTTAGTTTTTTTTTCCATTATGAAAGTCAAAAATCACTTTCTAACAGCTTTGTACAACTGCAATCAATATCAGCAAAGAGTGTCTGCTGTAGAAGCTGAAAACCAATATAAAATAAATTATATTTCCATCATAATGTTTCTGTTTTCATTGGAGTGTTAGGGAGGAGGGGGTGTATACAGGAAGTAGGGAAGATGGTAAAAGTACAGTATACAGTATATGGCTCATGTGGCTTTCTAAAACAGAGAACTGCAGGAAGAGTAATTAAACGTCCACTCCAGTCCCTCAAGCAATGCAGGAAAGTGTATATAGCTTTTGCATTTTCTGCAGATGGCAGTCCTGTTTTCAAGCATCTTTATTTTCTATATGGTCCAGAATGCAAACTTCTGCAAATGCAAGCCAAGTGATTTTAGATTCTAAGTACCACCCTCTCAAACAGGGTGTAGGAGATCATAGAAAATGCTATATGTATGGGGGCACATCATTCATTTCAGGGAGGGCTTGCATCGTTGTGATGCTGGTTCTGTAGATTGCTGTGTTCTCTCTGAAGGACTCATGCACATGAAAAACGGTATTTTGCTGAAATAGAAGTTTGGCTCAAAGTGGCTCTAAGGGCTCGTTTTTTTTTCTTTAAAATAATAAACACATCTTACATACTTTGTACAAAGGTTCTGCACAGAGCTGCCCCGATCCCCCTCTTCTCAGGTCCCTGGCCAGTGCTTCTGGCCCCTCCCCCTTGCCAGACTCATGTGTGCTCACTCCCAAACTGCCTGTGTGTGTCTATAAGACACAGAGAACGTGGCTTAGTCCTGCCTCCTGTCCCTCCTTACTGGCTCAGCCAATGCAGAAGGAGAGACCTGGGAGAGCTGCTGCTCTTGTGCACACCGCTGGATTGAGATTGGGCTCAGGTAAGTATTAGGGGAGCTGCATACTGCAGGTTTTTTTACCTTCATGCATAGAATCATCTGAAAAACCTTCAGCCTTTAGAACCACTTTAAAAAATGTGCTCTGTGTACATAACAAAAACTGTAAGAATCAAAGTCAATTATATCCCTGCAGTGACTGTTCCAGATATAGGCAGCTGCCTTTACAATTCTCTCACAGTTTCTCTCAAACTCTCTTGTGATCACAGAGCATGCTGCTCTGCAGAGAGACACAGTGGGGTTTATTTACTAAACCTGGTTGACTCAGAATCTTGTCCACTTCTGCATAAAAAACAATCAGCTTCCAGGTTTTATTGCTGAAGCTTAACTGAACATGCTAAGGTTAGAAGCTGATTGGCTACCATGCACAGGTGCCCAAGATTCTGATTCAACCAGGTTTAGTAAATCTCCTATTGTGTGGCAGAAGCTTTGCAAATAGGAATCACTGGGGTATATTTACTAAAACTGGTGCATTCAGAATCTGGTGCAGCTGTGCATGGTAGCCAATCAGCTTTTAATTTCAGCTTGTTCAATTAAGATTTAGCAACAAACCCTCGAAGCTGACTGGTTCCTATGGAAAGCTGCCCCAGACTTTACATGCTCCACTTT